AATAACTCACCAGTTATTCTTCCAATCTTCCCTGAACCCTCCAGATAGCTTCCAGCAAACCCGGAGATGTGAGCGCCGAGGCTATAGCCAATCAAATGAACTTTTTTAGGTGGGTACTGATACTCTTCCTGTTGGGGATTCATGACACAATTTGAACGAGGTACACGCATGATGCTTTACATTTGATCTCATTACATGCATGAAAGTCAACTGACTTGCAGTAGAGGAACTTGCTCTGACCTGAAGCGTCTGCACCAGGTGGGTTATGTCCTTTCCGACCGTGCGAGTGCTCTGTACTGCTATGGGGTAGTGCTGGTGAGCCAGTGACAGCCAGTCTGTGATCACCACATTTACATCTACTAGGTTAGTCTTCAGAGCTGTGGCCAAGCGGAGCACCCAGCTCTCCATCATACCATCCACCTTGAGGAGAACAAGACTGATGGTTAGTGGACAGAAGTATTATGATTTAAACAAAAAGTAAAAACTCTAATATTAGCATCACTAATGTTTGGTTTTACTACATTTCTTCAGATGCTTTCATGCGTCCACTTAATGGTTTCTTATTTCAGCAGACTTCAGAGCTCTTGTGCACGTTTCCTTTCTTGTAGTCAAAGCTCCGTGTTTTGTATCCAGTGGCTCAGAGTCAGTGAAGTGTAAAGAAGGCGGGAGTTGACCTTACCGACCACCCGTGAGTGATGATGATGAGGGGATTACTGCTGTTGAAACCGCAGGAGGTGAGAGTGTGCAGCTGCAGAGGGTCCAATGTGCAGGTGTCCTCACCTCCCGAAAACAGGCTGAAGACTGAACTGCTGACATACGGCTCTTTCACCGGCAGGACGGCCCTCTGCTCCGGGTCCGCTACGCCTCGGAAACCAAACAGCAGACGAGTTATCTGTTTGCTCTGGGTGATTGCTTTTGCATAACAGAACATGCCGAGGTACTGTTTGCTTTGAGGTGAATAATTACAGAATAATGCATGGAAATTCACTTTGGAGGACATGTTGTAATCCGTGCGGCGACACAATTATCTGACAGTAAATTAGGAGGAATCAGAACAGTCGGTTCCTCTTGAGGCCCATTTGGACCGTTGGCTGACTAACGCCCATTCAGAAGCACTTTGCTGTGTGTCCAGGTCATGAAGACCTCGTTGGCAGATGCACAAAGATGACACTTTGCAAAAAAACACAACAGTCCCATCCAGTGAATCTCTGCCAGACTCTTCTCGTAATTTCCTCCTTCCTCAACATGTTTTAAACCGCAGCTCAGAAATCTCTCTCGCAAACATCCCTGATCCAAAGCGATGCATCATCATATCTCCTTTGTGGTTCGTAATAATTCGGCACATTTATTATTCTTCGGTGGTAATGTTAATATCGCCAGAAACCCAGGCGCCAAAACAACCGATGATACAGCTGCCTTCAGATGAGCTCTGGCTGCTGACATGATAAAAACATCTGCAGTCAAAGTAACAAAAGTAATTATCCAGTCATCCTCCATCTTCCTTCCCTCCGCTTATTAAATCCCACATTTATTTTGGTGTGTCTCTTCGCTGTAATGACGTTTTATCCGTATAAACATGGAAAGCAATTAAAAGCAGTCATTAGTAACAGAGCGCAAACACTGTAAATCAAAAATTTGTAGCGAGTGTACTTAACTAATCGCTGACTGTAATTAGCACGGCTCTGTTTTGGCATGAATGCAGTGTTTGGATGTCGTACGCAGTGACTGAAGAGCTGCTCTCTCTCCATCGCTGTGTAAATCAGGCTTCATATGACTCTTGATTTAGGGAAAACTTATTAGTAAATGGGATGTGAAATTTGCACCCGCAGTTAGAAGATTTAACAAGAAAAAATTAGAGAGAACTCGAGAGAAGAGAATTTAATTTGTTATGACGTCTGGATGCAGATTTGTCAACAAGTGAAGGAGTTCACTTGAACATTAGTGATGGTAGAGACAGTTTTCAATGTGGAAACCCGATAATTAGTGACTATTAGTAAATATTGGAGGCTGCAGAAGAGTGGTTTTGATTCCTAAGAATGATCTGGTAGCAGCAACACAGAACCAAAGAATAAAAAAGATCCAACAATCTTAGTCAAAGGAATTGAGATATAAATCCCAGCATTGCACCAAAACAATGTTGTTAAACTACACAAAGCACTGTGATTGTTTCATGTGCAGCAGGAGACCTTCCACCTCAGAGCAGTTAAAGGAACCTTTGGGAGCACATGTGGGGCAGCTGAGCTTTATTCAAACCCACAGAAGTTAAAGTCTGGAGGAGAACGAGATGCACGAGTTACAAAGAAACATGTGCACCATAAATTCTGCATCATATACCTTCGACGTTTCTCATTTAGGTAATGATTATATTAAAATAAACACTGGTATCTCATTAAGTATATATACATAACTGCAACGTATAGTTTCAGATAACCAAAATGCAATGTTTTTATAATAACATTTAATTACCGGAAAGTGTAAATTTAACAAAGCTCCCGAGAAGGGTTCAAGGATTCAAGGGTTTGATATTAATTGCTTTATTGGGTCTAATATATGCACTGACAGCACGGTGGACAAATATATTAAAGGTGCATTTTTCATATCTGAATCTGGATAACATCGATCCACCAATTCCTTTTCTACACAAAACTAGAACCAACCAGTCGGCTGTATTCAGGGTTTATCCACTGATTTGTAGCAGCGTGATCAGGTTCATTTTGTCTCCTCTGATTATAGGTACAAGGTTTCTTTTCTTTTTTTAATCAGACAATGAGCTCCTATCTAAAAAATACTTATACCTTAAACCTCATACCATTGATTTGTATGTTTTTCATGCATCTCTCCGTTTCTGAAGGACATCAACCCAACGCAAACAGATTTCTTATCAAACGTCTTTGTTCTTCATTTAATATTTTACTTACTTGCTCTCTCTCCTTTGATTTTCTTCCCCTCACTGAGGTGACACGTTAAGAGCAAACAGCACAAGATTTTAGCCACAGACATGTCGCCACAGAGTCTCTTTGGTAAATCCTTTGAACCGGGCTTAAAATCTTTAGACTGCAGGTAATGGAGATTTGAAAAGGTCAGGTCCGTGTTGTTTTGTCTTTTTTAGAGATGCGTCATTGCCGTCCTGAGGGTTCTGGTGGTTCAGACCATTTTACTGTACTGTACAGAAGGAGAGGTTGACACTGGGAGTAATGGTTTATGGATAAGGGGAATTTAGTCCTGTCCTGATTGGCTGGGAGCCGGACCATATAGATCGAACATGTTGTGAAAGAGCCGAGGGACTGAGAGTGACTCAACGGTAGGAATGACCCTGGATCCCTCAGCCAGACTCCTATAAGTTCAAGAAGTGCACTTCTTTGTGGGTGTTTGTGTGTTTTTTAAATATATATATTTATAAAACTACCAGTTTCAGTTTCAAATGTAGTCTGTGGACAAAACAAAGTAAATCCTTCCAAGAACTAGATTGCAGCAACATGTTTGAACAGTTGAAAAGTAGTACTTCATGTGTCCAGTGGAGACTGAATATAACTGGATTAAAGCCGGCCTGGGACATCGATCCACACATCAATACTTTAAAACAAGCACACAAAAGACGTTGGGTTGTTTGACTGGTTGGTCAGAACAACCCAATTTCAGTTTTAACTCAGTGATTTTAAGGTGCACACGTTCAGAGATGAACTTTCTAAGTTAAAGGATCCAACAAAATAAGAGTTCATTTGCAAAAACGTTCTTCAGAAAACTTTTTTTTTTGTTGTTTGCTTGAGATCATATCAATCAAACTGAAGTTTAGTGGATTTGACTCAGTAGAAATGACAAAAACAGAGATAACTTAAGTTTGATTGATATTGTCTCAGGTAGACGATGGAAAGTTGGTTTTCTGAAGGTTTGTGAAGATGCAGTTCTCTGCTTTTGCAAATGAACTCTACAGGATTCTTTTCTAGTAAATCATTAATAAAAGCCCAAATCAAGTTGTTGCTTCTGTCTGTCGCGTCTTTAGAACAGGAGTTACGTGCACAGCTTATGTCAGTCGTCTCTGGACTGTTTTCAAGTCTCAGTTTGTCTGAGGTAAATGATGTATGTAATTAAACAAACAGGTCACACAGTGGTCACAGAGAGCCTTACAGCGCACACAGATGCAGCGCAGGGACTTGCTAACTGCTCTCTGAATAAATGCACCAATCTTGATTAATTGCCAACTTTCCAAATTAACGCTGAATTAAATTATCCGAATGTGCACTGAAAGCTTAAGCAGTCAAACTAGCTTGTTGTCCTTGTATGTGTCGGCTTATTTAGATGTTTTCTGCACGATAATGGTTAGAAATCAGCTGATATTTTTTTGCAAATTATAACGCTTGTGTTTCTGAATTGTAGTACAGTTTGGTTTGTTTTAAAAGAAGAAATCTCAAATGGAGCTCTGAAAGTCCCCTCAGCAGTAGGTACAAGTAGTCATGAAGTATTCTACATAAGTTTGGTGTTTTCCAAACATCAGCTTGATTTTCAGGAAGCGATGACATTATTTGACACTGAAATTATCCATCCATCATCTATACACCACTTAATCCTCATTAGGGTCATGGGGGGCTGGAGTCTATCCCAGCTGACTCAGGGTGAAGGCAGGTTCACCTGGACAGGTAACCAGTCTATCACAGGGCTACACTTAGAGACAGACAACCAAGCACACTCACATTCACACCTACGGACAATTTAGAATCACCAATTAACCTCAACATGTTTCTGGAGAACCCGGAGAGAACCCATGCTGCATGGGGAAAGATCCCGGGTGTCCTCACCAGGATGCGAACCGGTGACCTTCGAGCTGCAAGGGGACGGTGCTAACCACCGAGCCACCTTGCAGCCCATTTTGCATATTAGTTCCTTTAAAATAGTAGAAAACTGTCTGCATTTTGCACCACTTCTGTTTTATTTAACTGATGTGTTCTTATTGCAGCTTCTGCAATGAAGCCAACACTAATCATCCAGTGGCCTTTAATCCTTTCACACTGATATTGTTAAACGATGGAGGCTGTGAAACACCTCATGATGGTTATTTACACACTAACAGACTCGTTGTTTCCACAGTTCAGCGAGTGTTCTCCTTCTGCTCCATGACCAGCGTAACATTTCAGACCGTAAACATGTTCTTTCAATCTTCACTCCAGCAGCAAGAGAGTCAAAGTCGCAGTTTGTCTAATGGGTGATGTCATATCTGCCAGTCAGGTAGGAACAGCAAACACCCTGACCTTTTCCTGGTACTGTGGCCGTGTGTGTGTGTGTGTGTGTGTGTGTGTGTGTGTTTGGGTATATTTGCTTCTGTGTCTGGTCACACTGTTTTCTGCAGTCAATGATTGCCTTCGTGGACAAATATACACAAATACAACCGTATATCCAGCTGGGTTAAAAAAAAGAAAAGTGAATAAGATTAGAAATACACGATCAGTGCAGATGGAGGACTTTTATATAAGCTTGTACAGTCGCTTGTGTGGTCCGTTGTAATGTAAAGTCAGAGTGAGGATGCTCTCGGGGGGAAGAGCTCAGAAACCACTGAACCACAAAACACTCTTCATCCATTCTCTATGAAGTTATGTAACATCGCTCGCTTGTTTTCTTTTAATTGTTAATGTCTCTCTGCTGTTCCTGCTGCTTGTATTGATGGCTGCTGAATACTGATTGATTTACTGGGCTGTTCTTCTACCTGCACTTGGTACGTGGCAGCCGTGTGTGTTTGTCTTTATGAGGACTGGATTGGATTGGATCAGTTTAACAAAACATTTTGGTCAGACCTCAACTTCTGACACCTTTAAAACAACAGTTGAAGTTTTGCCTTCAGGGTGAAGGTTGGAGCTTTGGGAATGCATTATGTCACTTAAAATATCTGTCTGAGTGTAAGACAACAAACTGAACACATTTCCTTAAACAAATTATGGTTGAGCAAAGAGTTGAAGATTTATTCATCCTGAGGCAGA